AGAAGATGCCTCATGTATTCATCAGAAGATGCCTCATGTATTCATCAGAAGATGCCTCATGTATTCATCAGAAAATGCCTCATGTATTCATCAGAAGAGTGCATCACAGCAATCAGCATTTCATTTTTTCTAATTTATCTGTAGTCACCATTTCCACTATTTCTCCAGACATGAACTGATCCTAGAACAAAATACACCAAGATTTCAGATAAAACATTATAAATATACAATATTTCCTATGAACTTCTTGAATTAGCAAGACTGCTTTTTGCAGTTTTCATGAACAAATTGACAAATCACTGAAAATCTGTAAAGCACTGGTTAAAAGACTCTTAATCCAATTAAAAATGGAACTGATTCTAGATCAGCCATTGTGAAACCGTCAAAATACTGCAGTGAGTCAATCATATGAGAAGATAACTTTCATCTGAGGAAATGAAAATGTAGAAGCCCATTCCTTCCTTAATTGGAAAACTGACTCGACTGGTCAATAACATTAAGTACAACTGAAGAGAAAATACTCAGGCAAGATTTTTTTCCAAGTAAATACTGAAAACCATGCTGAATCAGAAAATCCTCCTGACATCACTATGATGTCAAGATGTTGGATGAACAAAAAAAATGTGAAAGCCACTGAGACCCAAAAAATAGTGCCAATTTGGATGCAAAATTAACTTAGTGGCTGGTAGCAATGGGTAATGTTTTAAGGTGCTTTCTCAAATTGAATGCCATTACCAGTGGAGATTTTCAGGGTTCAATACTTGGTCCCGCACTTTTTGTGAGTTGGATTAATGACTTATACTCAAATGGTACAGAAATTAGTTGTGCAGTTGAAAGCGAGGAGGAAAGCTTTAGACTACAGGAACATACGTATGGTTTGGTAAGTTGGGGCAAAAAGCTGAAAATGGAATTTTATCTGATGGACTGTGAAATATTGCATTTAGGGAAGTGCATGGTAGGAAAATACTGAGCAGTACGAGGAAGAGAAGGACCTGAGAATGTGCTCACAGACCCTTAAAAGTTAGTAGAATAAGTTTTAAGATGATTACGGCAGCATATGACATGCTTTCTTTTATTAGCTGAGACGTTATATGTAAAATCAGGGAGATTTTTTTCTGGAAACGTACACAATACTAACTAGTTAGACCATAGCTCGAGTACTGCTTTCAGGATACAGAGATTTCTTTTTGGCCAGCACAAGCCTGAAGAGCCAAATGCCCTTTTTTCATACTGTATATTCGTAGAAAATAAATATTGAGAATGTTATAAACAAATCTACAAAGAGGTTATGTATGAAATCAATAGTACAACAAATAATGCTGGGTTACTGAATCGGTAATTTTTGGATTGGGGAAACTTCACAATACTAAATATCACATTAAAAGGCAAGACATAGTTTTGCACATTATTCAAGTTAACTTACTTTATCATAAATTACTTTGATTATCAAAGAACAACTTGGGCAAGTTGCAACTTCTTCCCCATTTTCCAGGTCTTCCTGTAAGATAATCATAGAAAGTTACTTGTAGTCCTTGCAAGTTTTCCCCTAAACCCAAATGTGCTGGCAATAAAGTGCAGACCATTCCTTGATGACCTTTGCTCATTTAAGATTGTGTACTTGAAAGCAAAGAAAGAAGTGTTGCAGACAAGATTGATCTATCCTTGTCCACCAGTGACTACTTTTCAATGTAAAGTGATTCAGACAAATTTCTAAAACATTCTTTCTTCCTCAGGTATCTCCTCACTTTATACTCTACACAATTATGGCTCTTATCACAAAGATACATGTCAGTTTAATTTAACTTCTCCATCATCTTACCCTGCCCCATTCTTCCTTTAAAATTCTAATATACCACACATCAACAGTGACTCTGGTCAAATATGGACAGGAAAGCTTCCTACTGATTAGGACGTGCCATCTTCCATCTTGACCTCTAAATTAGTGTTCCCTCACTCTGAACATCACTTGGAGGAAGCACTGAGTGGCAAGGGAGCAGAATGTACTGTAGCTCAGGGGCTTCAATGTCCATCAGCCAGAGTGGCTCAGCACACCACTGATGATTGGGCTCAACGGTTTCTAAAGGAAATAGCTGCTAGACTGAGTCTACAACAGCTGTGGAATGAAGCAACAAGAGGGAAAAACATAATTGACCACATCCTCACAAAGAGCCAGAGACTTTTTCCTAGGGTGGAGGTAGCTATTACGAGGGGGCATAGTTCTAAAGTGAGTGGAGGTAGATACAGGGGAGACGTCAGAGCTAAATTCTTTACTCAGAGTGGTAAGGGCGTGGAATGCATTGCCGGAGAGGGTAGTGGAGTCGGCCTCATTAGGGGCATTTAAACGGCTATTAGATAGGCGTATGGATGATAGTATAAGGTAGCCGTGGAGGTTAGATAGACCTTAGGTTTAGGATAAAAGTTTGGCACAACATCGTGGGCCAAAGGGCCTGTACTGTGCTGTACAGTTCTATGTTCTATGTTCTAAATATACTATCCACAGATGCATCTGAAAAAAACAGAACCAATAAGAATGGCCACCACACAGTATTTATGGAGGTGAAGTCCTGTCTTCAAGTTAAGGGTGTCCTCCACTGTGTTGTGTAGCATAATCACCATCCTAAATGGAAATCAGACTCTGAACAGATCTGGTAACAAGAATGGGCATGCACGATGCTGTAGGCCTTCAGCAGCAGCTAAATTGTCTCGAACACAATCTGTAACCTCACAGCCTGACATATTCCCCTCTGTCATTACCAGAAGCCAAGGAATCAATCCTAGTTCAATGGGCAGTACAGCAGGGATTGGCAGCAGCTACACCAGGCACATGTAAAACTAAAACAAAAACAAAAACAAAAACATAAATTGATGGAGAAACTCAGCAGGTCTTGCAGCATCTGTGGAGAGAAAGCAGAGTTAATGCTTTGAGTCTAGTGATCCTTCTTCAGGACAGTTCTGAAGCATCAGAGATTTCTGTTTTAGTTTCAGATCTCCAGCATTCACAGTTCTTGGTTTTACATGTGTGCGCACTGAAAATTTCCATGCCCCTAGCCAAGCTGTTCCAGTACAGTTACAACACTGGCATCTACTCAGTAATGTGAAAAAAAAGCCAAGTATGTCCTGTGCACCAAAGGCAGGGCAAATCCAACCCAGCCTATTACTAACCCATATACCTACCCTTGGTCAAATCAATAAATTGGCAGGGTGATCCACACACCAGCCAAACAGCACTAGCTTAGCAAAAACCTGCTCACTGAAACTCAGTTTGGGCTCTGCCAGGGCCACTAAACTCCTGACTTCATTACAGACTTGGTTCAAACATGGACAAGCGAGTTAATTCCAAAGGTGAAGCAAGCTTCACAGCTCTTAACATCAGGCTGCAAATGGCCAAGCATTGGGTCAAGGAAAAGTAGCAAAACTAGAGTCAAAACGAATTAGGGAAAACTCTGCTGGTTGGAATCATACCCAGCACAAAGGAAAATAGCTGTGATTGTTTGAGGTCAGTTGTCTCAACACCAGGACACCTCTGTGGGTGTTCTTCAGGGTAGAGTCCTAGTCCCAACCATCTTTAGCTGCTTCATCAATGACCTTTCCTCCATAATAAGGTCGGAAGTGGGGATGTTTGCCGATTATTGCACAATGTTCAGCACCATTCATGACTCTTCAGGTACTGAACCAGTCCATGTCCAATTGCAGGAAGACCTGGATTTTATCAAGCTTGGGATGATTCATAGCTTCCCTACAGTGTGGAAACAGGCCCTTCGGCTCAACAAGTCCACACTGACCCTCAGAGCATCCCTACAGCAAATGGACTGCAGCAGTTCAAACATGCAACTCACTGCCTCGTTTTCAATAGCAATTAAGGATAGACAACAAATGCTGGCCAATCCTGCAACACCCACATTCCCTGAATGAATAACAAAATCAATTTGATTCCTAATCCTGAACAAAAAACTTTTATTTGAGCAAAACATCACAACTTAATCAACTGTAACTGTATATCCTCTATATCATGACTGATTATTTCAATCTTGGTAACACTTCTTGTCTCTACCCTGCGTGGGTCCATCTGATGCTGAAATCCTCACTTGCAAGCTCAACTATTCTAATCACAAAGAATGCTGAAAAACTCAAGCAGCTCCAGCAGTAGCTGTGGAAAGTCAAACAATTAACAGATAAGACTCTTCTTCAGAACTGACCATCAATTGCACAGTCTTGAAGAGTCATTCCAGACTCAAAAGGTTAATTTCGTTTCTGTCTCCACAGATGCTGCGAGACCTGATAAGTTCTCTCCAGCATTCTCGTAGTTTGTTTCAGCTGTCCAGTATTCGCAGTATGTGCGTTCGTTCAACTATTCCAACACTGTCTGGCGTAATGACCTCCACCTTGCAGAGGCTGAGCACCAGCTCTCAGATACCTCCTCCTACCTTCCCCTGGACCATGACCCCACCATGGCACATCAGGCCATTGTATCCACTACGGTTACGATCTCATTTCATCCGGTGATCGCGACCCCCATCCGCTTCCAAGCTAATAGTCCCCCAACCCCGCACAGCTCGTTTCCACCTCCTGCCAAAAATCCACAAACAGGACTGTCCAGGTAGACCCGTTGTTTCAGCCTGCTCATGCCTCACAGAACTCATCTCTTCCTACCTTGACTCAGTCTTCTCCCCCCGGTCCAATCCCTACCCACAAACATCCATGATTCATCTGAGGCCTTACGCCGGTTTCAAAGCTTCCAGTTTACTGGCTCCAGCCACCTCCTCTTTACCATGGACGTGCAATCCCTTTACACATCCATTTCCCACCAGGAGGGTCTTAGGGCTCTCTGCTTCTTCCTGAAGCCAGACCTGAACCATCCCCACCTACCACCACCCTCCTCCGCTTGGCCAAGCTTGTCCTCACCCTCAACTTCTCTTTCAACTCCTCTCATTTTCTTCAGGTAAGAGGGGTTGCCATGGGTACCCGCATGGGTCCTAATTATGCCTGTCTCTTCGTGGGGTACGTGGAACATTCCTTGTTCCAGTCCTATTCCGGCCCCCACCCACAACTCTTTCTGCGATACATTGATGATATCATCGGTGCTGCTTCCCTCTCTCGTCTGGAATTGGAAAACTTCATCAGTTTCGCCTCCAATTTCCACCCTGCCCTCACTTTCACCTGGTCTATCTCTGACTCCTCCCTTCCCTTCCTCAACATTTCTGTTTCCATTTCTGGGGATAGACTGGCCACTAATATCCATTACAAACCCAGTGACTCCCACAGCTACCTGGACTATACATCGTCACACCCCACTTCCTGTAAAGACTCCATCCCATTCTCTCAGTTCCTCCGTCTCCATTGCATATGTTCAGATGAGGCCAACTTCAACAAGGGAGCCTCTGAAATGTCCACCTTCTTCCTCAACCAAGGATTCTCCAGTTCCGTTGTCGACAGGGCCCTCAACCAGGTCCGATCCATCTCCCGCACTTCCGCCCTCACCCCTTCTCTTCCCTCCCGCAACAGCGATAGGGTTCCCCTCATCCCCACCTACCATCCCACCAGCATCCACATCCAGAAGATCATCAGACACCATTTCCGCCACCTCCAGCAAGATGCCACCACCAGACACATATTCCCCTCCCCTCCCTCGTCCGCCTTCCGCAGGGACCGTTCCATCCGGGACACCCTGGTCCACTCTTCCATCAGCCCCAACACCTCCCCACAGCCCTACAGCACCTTCCCCTGTAACTGGCGAAGGTGCAACACCTGCCCATTTACCTCCTCCCTCCCCAGAATCCAAGGGCCCAAACATACCATTCAGGTGAAGCAACACTTCACCTGCATTTCCAAGAATCTAGTCTACTGCGTCTGCTGCTCACAATGTGGTCTCTTCTACATTGGGGAAACAAAGCGTAGACTTGGCAACCGCTTCGCAGAACATCTACGTTCTGTTTGCAAAAAAGACCCTGAACTACCTGTTGCCTGCCACTTCAATGCACCACCTTGCTCCCTGGCCAACATCTCTGTCTCCAGCTTGCTACAGTGTTCCAGTGAAGCCCAATGCAAGCTGGAGGAACAACACCTCATTTTCCGCGTGGGGACCCTACAGCCCTCCGGCCTCAATATTGAGTTCAATAATTTTAGGGCCTGAACTCTCCCATGTCCCAGCCCCCCAGCTCATACACCAGGCCTTGTTACCACACAGCCTGCCATTACACACCCCCTGTTGTTAGTCACTAACTTGAACAACTACTCACCCTCCCAGCCTGATCGTTAGTAACTCCTTTGTCTGTCCAACTGTTTTTCTCTCTCTTTGGGCTCTATCTTATCGTTTACTCCCTACCCCACCCACCTCCCTATTTTCTGCATGTAAACTGACGTTTCCCCAGCCACCATCAGTTCTGAGGAAGGGTCACCGGACCCGAAACGTTAACTCTGTTTTCTCCTCCACAGATGCTGCCAGACCTGCTGAGCTTTTCCAGCAACTTTGTTTTTGTTCTTGATTTACAGCATCTGCAGTTCTTTTGGTTTTTATTCCGACACTCTTCTGACTCTCCAGAATGTCCGGAGAAAGAAACAAAAAGTTTATGATGCACCCCAATAAAGGCAAGTTATAATAACGGCATCTACCACAATAAGACTATAACCAAATAAATCACCTCTGACTGATGAATACAGCGAAATTCTTCACTTATAATCACCCACTCACTGACGTGCCCTTTAGTGGCGATCTCACGTTAGAAGGTTAAATCACTCCCATTAATTATTACTAGGGAAACCTTATTTATTTCTGTTGGGTCGATTACAGCCGTGATACTAGTTAGAGAGTGAGTTACAGTCGGCTGGATCCGCTCCGCCGCTCCCACCTTGCTAATGACGAACTTGTCCCCACACGGACACGGATAATAATAGCTCTCCGTCTCCTCATCATACTCGAAATCCTCGATTTCCACCTCATCGTGAAACACGGACATGATGAAGGGTCACAGAGACTTCAATCTCCCTTACAAGCCTGAGGCCTCCAGCCTTCTCGCCGGGACCAGACCTCACTCAGCTCCACGCTTTCCCCAGGCGTTTCTGCGCCTGCGCCTTTCTCAAACTGAACGCCACGCAGGACGCGCCTGCGCCTTTCTCAAACTGCATCCCTCCTCGGATGCGCCTGCGCCTTTCTCAAACTGCATCCCTCCTCGGATGCGCCTGCGCTCCGCTCCTGCGCGAACATCAATCAGCCACTTTTGAGCATGCGCAAATATTGTCCGCCAACCGGGTGGGGGCGTTCGCGGCCTTTGTAGCATTTTGTCTCATTCTCGGATTTTTAACGTTTGTCGTAACTTGCTGTTGTATTTGGCGCATGTCGAGCCAATGAGCAGCTACGGATAAATTCACTTATCTCAGTACGATACGCGCAAATATTTATCATTGCAAATATTTAGCAGATTTTGAAAATCAAGCCTGGAATGAAGAGGAGCCAGTCTCTCGAACTGCAAGTCTTGCCCAGCCTGCCTCAATGTATGTGACACCTGGACTATAGCAGCATTCCAATAGGCTCAACTACTTTCACTACAAAATGATTGGGTTTGAAGAGTTCATAACCAAAGTTTGAACTATATACATCTCAATACTGTCTTTTTACCAAAGAGGAATTAATGACTAGAATAACCTTCCAGAAATATTGATCTCCATGCCTTCTAGGGACTCACTTAAGGGAAATTTGTTGCTCTTATTTTAATTCATATGATGATCACCTGTGCTTGTTGGCCAATTCCTTCAAACTTCCCTTGTGAAAGACTACCAACAAAACATTTACAAAGTACCAAGCTGCTTTTGGCAGCTTCGTGAAGATCTGATGGGACAAGATGAGGTACTCGTCTGAGCTGGCATGAAATGCATCAACACCACGTTAAGACAACTAAAACTGATTTTGGCTAAATGTTCTATGCAGAGCTTCAGTCTGGAGTGCAGTTTCATGATGGTCAAAAAATGCTATAACAACACTAAAGATTTGACTAAGCAGTTTTGAGTTTTGATCTTGAGACACGGGAGGTGCTCACCAGGATCACTGCACCTTCCACAACCAAGTAAAAACAATGCAACCTCCTTGGAAAGCAAGTACGCCTTAAAAGTGGAGAGAAGACACAAGGTTGGAAAATCATTCCAAACTCAGTCATCTGTGTTATTCTGCTCTATTTGCAGCAGAAACATCTGGTTCAGGTCAGCCAACTACACACCTGCGACCCTACCAAAACTATCTGATGAGCAAGCTCAAACAAAGATTTGACATGAGGCATCACAAGGAAAGATTTGGGCAGATATTTAGAAGCTCATTTAAAAGAGAGAGAAAATCATAGAATAGAATCCCTACAATGCAGATCGAGGCCATTTGACAAATTGAGTATACACCAACCCGCTGAAGAACATCCCACTTAGACTGATACCCTATCCCTGTAATCCGGCATTTATTATAGCTAACCCACCTAACCTGCAAATCCCTAGATATATAGGACAATTTAGCATGGTAAATCCATCTAACCTGCACATCTTTTGACAGATAGGCACCTATCGTCTGAAGGTTCTTGTCTGTACATTAGACATCAGTGGCACACAACAACTCAGATATTGTTACACTAAATGAGGTGCAACTTTGTTAAATTACTAAATAGTACATATTCACAAAGACATTGGCTGCTTAGCAACTTGTGAGCAAGAGTCCAGATATCTGAGCATGTCTTTGGAGTGTTTGACTACAACACCCTAATGACAGCAGCAATGAAGTCCTTTTTAAACTGTTTCTTTGTGCCTTTCTTGTTTTGGCTGTGTTCATATAAGGTAAACTCTGTTTTAGGCCAATTTAATGGGGTTTCAATTACATCACTGTCATGTTCAACAGCCGGATGTACTCTATCTGGACCCCATCCCAAGGACATGCTTGAATGACCACAGGCAGTTATCTCCAATAGTCTTATCAATCTCCAGTACTAGAGTGAAGGAAGCGTGTTTGTGTCTTCACCCAATTTCCCATTTTGCTTCTTGTTCTCAAACCCACATGCAGTTCATTGACATCAAACAGGGTACCTTTTCACATTCAATGTTTCTTGTTACCACAATGAGATAACTCTGGACGCAGGACTAGAAACCCAAACTAACTACACATGCACCCGCTGTTTGTGGCAAGGATTACGTGACTTAACAGGCTACAAAGTGAAGCAGAACAGAATAGCGGACCGAAATACATCCCTCCCTGATGCGCTTAATGCATTTCATGCTTGTTTCGAACAGAAGGTCAGTGAAACGAGGTCACCTGCCCCGACAGCCTCGGATGCACCTGTTCCATCAATCATCACTGCAGACGTCAATTCAACCTTTTTGAGAGTGAACTCACAAAAGGCAACTGGCCTAAACAGAGTCCCCGGCCACGCACTCAGATCCTGCGCATACCAGCTGGCGGGAGTATTTGCTAACATTTTTAACCTCTCCTTACTATGATCTGAAGTCCCCACCCGCTTCAAGAACACCGCCAACATCCCAGTGCGAAAGAAAACACATGCAGTGTGCCTCAATGACTACCACCTGAAAATCTGATGTCCATAATTATGAAATGCTTCAGTAGGTTAGTCATGGCTCACATCAACTCTCAGCTTGCCTTGTTCCCTTGCAATTTGCCTACCATCATAACAGGTGAATGGCAAATGCCATCTCCCTGGCCCTACACTCATCCCTGGAACATCTGGATAACAAAGATACCTACATCAGTCTCCTACTAATTGACTACAGCTCCATCTTCAACACCATCATTCTAACCAAACTAATCTCCAAGACCTAGGTCTTTGCTCTGCCCTCTCAACTGGATCCTCAACTTCCTGACCCATGGACAGAAATCAGTGAGAATTGGCAACAACACCTCCTCCATGAGAATCCTCAACACTGGTGCCCCACAATGCTGCGTATTCAGCCCCTAACTATATTCACTATACTCTCATTACTGTGTGGCAAAATTCTGTCCTAACTCTATCTACAAGTTCACTGACGACACAACCTTTGTAGGCCAGATATCAAACAGTGACAAGACTGAGCACAGGAGAGACATCGGGTACTTGATGTAATGGTGTAAAGATAATAATCTCTCCCTTAACATCAGCAAAATGAAGGACCTGATCATTGACTTCAGGAAGCAAGGTGGAGGGCATTCCCCTGTCTGCATCAATGATGCTGAGGTGGAGATGGTTGAAAGCATCAAGTTCCTGGGAGTGATGATCATCAACAATCTGACCTGGTCCACCCATGTTCACTCTGCATTCAAGAAAGCATAACAATGCCTTTACTTCCTCAGGAGGCAAAGGAAATTTGGCATGTCCATAAAGACTCTTACCGATCTTTATAGATGCACCACAGCTTGGTATGGCAACTGCTTGGCCCAGGACCATAAGAAACTACAGAGAGTTGTGGACACAGTCCCGTTCATCATGCAAGCCAACCTTTCATCTATTGACTCCATCTGTACTTTTCACTGCTTTGGGAAGGCAGCCGACATAATCAAAGACCCCTCCCACCCTGGTTATAATCTCTTCAGTCAGGCAGAAGATACAAAAGCTTAAACACATGTACCTACAGATTCAAGAACAGATTCTTCCCCACTGTTTTTAGATTTCTGAATGGACCTTTCAAATTTTAAATTTAATGTTGATCTCGCTCTTTGCGCACCTTCTATGCAATCTTAACACTGTATTTGTTGCTCTGTTCTGTTACCCTAATGCACTTCAGATGGTATGATCTATCTGTACTGCATGTAAAACAAAACTTACTGTATGTAGGTACGTGACAATAATAAATCAAATCAAATTTTTAAAAAATCACCACAATGAAAGAACACTGGACACAGGTCTTCACCACAATGAAACAACTCTGGACACAGGTCTTCACCACAATGAGACAACTCTGGACTCAGGACTTCACCACAATGAAACAACTCTGGATACAGGCCTTCACCACAATGAGACAACTCTGGATACAGGACTTCACCACAATGAGACAACTTTGGACACAGGACTTCACCACAATGAGACAACTCTGGACACAGGACTTCACCACAATGAAACAACACTGGACACAGGACTTCACCACAATGAGACAAGATGGGTTTTCTAACGATCTAAAATGGTTTTATAGTCATTAGTAGATTCTTAATTCCAGTTATTTTTTATTGAATTCAAGTTCCACCATTTGCTGTGGAGGATTCGCACCAGGGTCCTCAGAATATTAGCTGAGTTTTTGGATTAATAGTCTAGCAATAATACCATTATGCCATCACCTCCTCTCCAGGACTTCTCCCAAATGAGACAACTCTGGACACAGGACTTCTCCACAATGAGATAGCTCTGAACACAAGACTTCAACATAACCAGTTTACGGTCATTAATATAAAAGAAAGAAAAGAACAATTACATGATTCGAAGTGGTTAATACAATAATAGGATATACAACACATTATCTTACCATAGTGCTTATGAATCCTCTTAAAAAGAGAAGGAGAGGCAAAGAGAATTTTGGAGGATAGTGCAGAGCTCAGGGTTGGAGCAGTTGAAAGCACAGCTGCCATTATTGGAGTGAATATAATTGGAGATTTACAAGAGGCCAGAATAAGAATGTAAGAATAGGAGCAGATCATAGGACTCTTCAAGGTAGACAAACAGGAGGCTGGAAGAACACAACAAGCCAGGCAGCATCTGGAGGAAAGGAGCAGTCGTTTCGGGTATTACCCTTCTTCAGGGCTCTTTAAATCTGCTCTACATTTAGTGTGATTGTGGCTGGTCCTTTGCCTCAAATCCATTTGCCCCCCTGCTCCTGATATCTTTTGATCCCCAAGAGGCTAATCTATATGTCTAGATATATTCAACAATGGAGCATCAGCTGACAGTGATAAATATGGGCTGTCAAATTTTAATCTTCATCATCTGATTGTTAAACCTAAGCCCTTTCATGGACTAAAATGGTTTCTGAAGTGTAGAAACATGGACCTAAAATGCCTGCTGTGGTCATTTCACCACAGTTTGAGGCAAGGTTCATGAGATCCATGTGGAATGCAGTAAATTGTCTGTACCAGTTACCATTTTAATCTAAAGATATTGAAACCAGGGAACTGAGTCAATGTCAAGGAATATGA